ACCATGTCCCGGGATAAACGGGCAGTAATGGACCTGCGGTGTCCCGGGATAAACGGGCGGTGATGGACTCGCGGTGTCTCAGGAGGGATGGCGGGACAAACCTCCGTGTCCCGGGAGAGGCAGAGGGATAAACCCACCGTGTCCCGGGACGAACGGGCGATGATGGACACGCGGTGTCCCGGGATAGACGGGCAGTGATGAACCCACTGTATCCCGGGATAAAGCGGCAGTGATGAACCTGCGGTGTCCCGGGATAGATGGAGGGACAAACCCACCGTGTCCGGGGATAAACGGGCGGTGCTGTCCCGCTGTGCCCGCCCTGTCCCCGCAGTGTCCCGGGACAGTCGGGCAGTGCTGTCCCGCGGTGTCCCGGGACAGACGGGCGGTGCTGTCCCGTGGTGTCCCGGGACAGTCGGGCGGTGCTGTCCCGCGGTGTCCGGGTTGTCCCGTGGTGTCCCGGGACAGACGGGCGGTGCTGTCCCGCGGTGTCCGCCCTGTCCCGCGGTGTCCCGGGACAGACAGGTGGTGCTGTCCCGCTGTGCCCGCCCTGTCCCCGCGGTGTCCCGGGACAGTCGGGCGGTGCTGTCCCGCGGTGTCCGGGTTGTCCCGCAGTGTCCCGGGACAGTCGGGCGGTGCTGTCCCGCAGTGTCCCGGGACAGAGGGGCGGTGCTGTCCCGCAGTGTCCCGGGACAGTCGGGCGGTGCTGTCCCGCGGTGTCCGGGTTGTCCCGCAGTGTCCCGGGACAGACAGCCTGTGCTGTCCCGCAGTGTCCCGGGACAGACGGACGGTGCTGTCCCGCGGTGTCCCGGGACAGTCGGGCGGCGCTGTCCCGCGGTGTCCGGGTTGTCCCGCAGTGTCCCGGGACAATCGGGCGGTGCTGTCCCGCGGTGCCCGCCCTGTCCCGTGACCGTGCCCGTGTCCCGCTGGCTCCGCAGGGCCGCGCTGCTGACCGGGCGGCTGCCGGTGCGCTCCGGGATCTACCCGGGCGTGTTGGAGCCGGGCTCGCGGGGCGGGCTGCCGCTGGCCGAGGTGACGCTGGCCGAGCTGCTGAAGGCGCGGGGCTACGCCACGGCCATGGTGGGCAAGTGGCACCTGGGCTACGGGCGGAACGGCTCCTTCCTGCCCCTGCACCACGGCTTCGACCAATTCCTGGGCATCCCCTACTCCCACGACCAGGTGAGCGCGGGGCCGGG